ATTCCAAATCTGCTGCCTTCTACTTTCTTTACGTGAACCTCTTTTTTAAACAATAAAAGATTAAAAAGTCCCATCTACCTGCTCTCTAAACACGCCACGCTGTTACAAGCTGCACTGCAAGCGCCTGCGCCGCCTTCTTGCGCTGAGAAACGGCGTCACGAGACAGGGAGGTGCAGGGGCCAGCAGGGAAGCAGCTACCAAAATCCACACAAAACCCGAAATACGCGGACAGAACACGTCACGACAGCTTGAACCGCTGCTCCTTCCCCCCTGAGGGTATCTTCACCATGCGGCTCAACATCCCTGGCCCAGCAGCGGGAGGGAACCCTCAACCGAACTGCACCGTTGACCGACCTGTACAAACCTGGGGCTCTGGACTTGCCAGGGTGGCAGTTTGGCAGCCTCCCCCCAGCACTGAATATTAATTTTCCAACATTTAAATGCGTTTCAGAGCAAACACTGCAAGCAAACACGAGCAGCAGACCGAGAAAGGACAGTGCTGTAGATTCACTGCAACTCCGGGGAGAGGACGGCGACCCGTGGACCTGCCGGCTGGGCTTGGACAAGGCACGGGCTTGACGCTCCTCAATTTTCTCCTCCTTCCACGCTCACCACTTGGGTCTCCACAAAGATCATTCACCTCTGAAAAAGACACCAAGACCCTGCAAGAAGAGGTGTCAAGGACAAAATGTGCTGCTCCGAAAGCAGAGGCACCTCAGCCTGCAACGGAATTAAACCTACAAATAACCTGCATTTAACGAGCCTCTATATGCACACGAGAAGCATGAAGCAGCCCTAATTTTTCTCGGTCCTATTTGTAGCTCCTAAGGTGGAGCGAGGCTCTCTCCCGGTCCCTGTGTCCACGAGCTAAGACTTTCCGAGTTACTTGACGCAAACCAGAGCTGTGGCCTGACCGTGATCGGAGCGCGCGGCTCCAAAACTGGAACGAACGAGGAAAAAAAAAAAATAAATTACATATTTCATCCTCTTCTTTTGTGGCTTTTATTTTCTTTTGTATTCGCTTTGGGAATAACATTCTTTCCATTGGGAAGAGCCTGATTTTCCATTAAATACAAAGCAGCTGCCATTTTGGAAACAAAAAGTTGATTAAATACAGATTTTTTTAATTTTTTTCCCTAACACACAAAGAGCTAGAACCACACTTCTTTCTGCTGATTTATCAGGGCAAAGCATCTGCCAATTATGGCAGTAGGAAGACTTAAAGAGAGCGAACCAAATTGCTTCATCTTTGCTATATAATTTTATAATTATAATTTGATGTTATAAATAAAAGGGGAAAGATCTCAAGGCTTGGAGCACAGCAGGTTGCCCTTACCCTCGCGGCGGAGCCCTCCGGCACACTGACACGAAGGGTTTCTCACCCTTTGCACACAAATGGGCGCTCCAGATTCCCCGTTTACGCAGATTTCTGCTTGCCGAGATGCCGAAGGAAGGGTCGGCATGTCGCCGTGACGTACGGCCGCCTGTTGGAAACGCAACTAATACATGACTTAAGGCCCAGATGTTGAACAGACTGGAAAAAAGGATGAGCTCAAAACAAAAAAAAAAAAACCACCCACCCACTCCATTTCCACTCCATGAGCCATCAACACCCAATTCGGGAGAGATTTTTTTTTCTGAGCAGAGCAGATTGCTGAGTGACCAACACAAGCGACATAGGAAACTTCAGCTCGTTTCACATTCCTTCAAAAACTAAATCATACATTCAATTTCCATTTTCAATATTTAGATGTTATAGCTGAAAAAGAAAGAAGAAAAAGATGGATGGTGAAAGCTGTAGAAATTACTGTTATCTTGTTCTTTAATTAACCCATTGGGCTCTTGTTATTTATTGCCATTCATGACACACAATGAAGACCATGGCGATCATGAGAAATCCGTAAGGATCTGCACGTTTAAACGCTGTGCTTCTCTCTCTTGCTATTCCATCTAACCCAGGCTACAAGATCCAGGCAGAACATATCTCTGCGTACAGGCACCCCTGGGATGGCCATGGAACGACGTGTCCTTAATTGCAGCCGCTTCACCCACACCAATAGCACTCAACCGTGCCCAGGCGGCCGTCGGCTCCAAATGATGGGCACGAGCTCCCAACGCTTCTCCGTGCAACCTCAGTTCAAGTGATCTCTGCACGGGGAGCCCAAAGGACGCTGCGTTTGCAGGTTGGGCTCCTCTAGGGCAGGTGGGTCTCCTCCCGTGGGTAGGTTACGCGAGATAGCTGAGGGCTTTGGAAGCAGATGCAGCGTTCATCGGTGCTCCTTGGCACGTTCACAACTTAAGAGAAGCCTTACAAGATTTCAGGTTGCCAGGGGATGAAATAAGAGGAAAGCATATAATTGCGAAGCCTATTGTTTCACTTAAATTCGCTAAAGGGGAAAAAAAAAAAAAACCATACTTGAACCTCTGTTGGGGTTTCTGGAAGGCACAGGCTGGGGCTCTGGTGCAGGAAGCAGCAGGCATGTTTGGATTCCTTACACTGGGGATGGCTTTTTGGCTGCCAAATTCCCCGTACCGCACATCTGATTCTTTGAGTATGTACGTGCATGCAAAAGTAAGCATAAAATAGCTTTATAAATCTAAGTTTGTAAAAGAAAAATCAAAGCCAAACATGCCAAGGTGACTACACAAAGGGAAGCAATACCTAGGGAAGCGTGCACACCCTGGTTTAAAGGATTTATGGGACTGGGCATTTTAGCTTCAATTAATTTTCAAAGTGCTGAAAGCAGACAAGAAACCATGTAATTACAAGATAACTTGGCTTACCCGGATTCGAGTTAACTAGCGCTCCTGGGTTAATCAGAGGTCAGCCTTCTCCCCAGCCAACAAAGCTAAATCCGCTCTATTTGAATGCTTTGCTCCTTGCTTTAAAGCAACCAGTAGTTCTTGTTTCGACCCCTTCATTTTGGTAAGTATTTGGGATTTTGGAGACACTTGAGAAGACCAGGAAAGTAATGCAGAGCCACCAGACCGCAGCAAGGCGGGCAGCACGGGACCACACCGCCATGCAAGCGCTGCTCCCGTCACCAGCCCATCTTCTTCCCACCAAGGCACCCTCGCTTTCAGGGCATTTTGCCCAACCTTCAGGGCGAGCTGCCCCGAGCAACCCCCCAGGAGACTCGGATCATCTCTGGAGAGCAGAGGCAGCCCCTGAGGACCATATGAGGAGGATTTTGGATGCTGCTCATGCCCTGTCCATGTCTGCGACGCAGGCAACTCGCTTTTTTTTTTTATGCGCGTCTGTATCTACAACACCAAGAAACTTCCAGGATTAGCCACAACTACTTCCCACCGGACATTTTAAACTCCGTTACAATTACTCCTTTGTCCTGCTATTTTGTGCAATCAGATTTGTATTTTTCAATCTCTTTTAGACAGGCAGATTAGTGATTTATTTCCACCAATTAATATATACTACCTAGAGAACAGAAAATTAGAGGGGTTAAAAGGAAAATTAGAATCGGTTGCAGTTAAAAACAAAACCAACTAAGAGCAGGCTAGCAAAGTCCCACCATATAAAGGGATTACTCCATTCCTGACCCTTTCCAGGGGACCTCCAGGTATTATTTTTCATTGATTTACCTTAATGAAACTAATGCACCCCTCTCCATAGGAAGCTGACTCCATAGCTGTCTAGGCACTGGATTCAATTAAAGAAATAAATACATCTGGCTTCTAAATGGTTGAAAGTCTCGAAAAGCCAGAGGCAATACCACTTTTTGCATCTGTCTCTCTTAGGGTACGCCCTAAGGACACCGCGTAGGATGGTCGACATTCAACACCGCTCCTGGAAACCCGCGGCCGCAGGGGGATGCCCGAAGCATCCCTGCCTGCTCCCCGATGGCGCGGGCCGCTCCCGCAGCCCTGCCAGCAACCCGGCCATGGCTTTGATGGAAGCTGGCCTCAAATTGCTTTAACAAGGCTCTTTCTTTCCAGAAGCTGGCGTTGATTTGAGACCTTGATGTTGACTTAGAAACCCCCAGGTGCCCAGAGCCTGCAAATACTCAAGGCTTAGCTATGCTCAGTTTCCAGGAAAAGGGGTACACGCACCCAACCGCGGCGTGAAATATCAATACTACCGTGGCAGCTCAGCATTAAAATGAAGAGCGGGGGTTAAAGGCAGAAAAGCAGAAGCTGGGGTAGAGGCTATTCCTCCGCGACGGCCGCATCTCACACCGCACAACCGCGTCGAGCAGGGCTGCACCGACACAAAAAACGAGGCGTGCTTTGCTCGCACGTGCCTTGGCTTGCAGACAAGGGAATAGAGGAAACAAGGTAGCTCGAGAGCACTTTGTTTGCGATCTATCCGGGAAGTGCCGCAGAGTTTTCTCCCGCACATGAAACAAGCAGAAATGACAACAATTAGAGGGGTTCATTGAACCAGAAGGCAGGTCCGAAAGGTCTCCTTCGCTTTCTTTGTGCTAATTGCCCTAATCCAAACAGGGAGACAGTAAATGTCAAGAACCCACGCTATTTTCTGGATAAAATACTATTCCACCACTCTAGCCAGAGGGAAGGCTTAGCGGTCCAAGCCCCGGGTCGGAGCACTTAGACCAGGAGGAACGTCAGGCTGAAATCCCCATGGGGGATTTGTCTGAACAAAATACAGGGAGCGAGAGGGGATTTTACAAAGATCTTTTCTCTTTCGAGCAGAGGTTGAAGATCCCATCGTGCTTTCTCTAATAACAGGCATTTCCTCTAATTCTCGGCACATTTAGGGATGCTTGGGGGATAGAAGGAGCGACGTGCTCTAAAAGGAACAAGTTAGCAATGCTACTGCAACAGCATGGTTGCAGGCGACCTGTCTGGAAGGAAACCCTTTCCCCTGATCTCTTATTTATCCTGTTGATTTAAACTTCTACTCAGGCTTTTCCTTTCCTCCCTTCCCAGACTAAGGACCTCTTCTGGTTCAACTCACCCTCCAACACTTGAAGTGCGAGCAGAGCAGACTGAACGCGCACGACACGCAGTCTTGTACTCACCGACATTGTAGAGTGGACATCTACATCCCCCTACAGAGGACAACACAGGGAGTTTAAAGTCAAATGCAGAAGAGAGCAAAGCAACAGCGAGAAAGGCAGAGAGGTCCACATCAGTCATCGCCCGTAGGTGCCTACAACCCAGCAATGCTCCAACCGAGGCACCGGCTGCTCGGCAGTTGGCAGAGTATTAAAAAAGCAAAATATGGGCTCTTTGAACCTGGTCTAGGGAGGATGAGGACGACATCAAAGCACCACAAGGCCAGTTTTATTGCTTTAAATATGCTCCGCAAGTCAACAGCCACGTGCCTCGGCTCTCCCACCTGTAAGATGGAGGTGATGGATGTCAAACCCTAGCGAGAGACAGCAGGGATCAGCTCAAGCAACACTTGCTCA